CCCCAAAACCCCAAAACCCCAAAACCCCTTCTCTTTTGAATTTTATTGAAATATTAGCTTATCTTCATAAATCTCCTGTAAAAGCATCTCTTTCTCACGTTTCTCGATCGTCTTGTCAACTTTGTTGAGATTTTTGAGCTCTCTGAAATCCTTCTTGTTCTTCACAATCCCGTTGTAGGCTTGGTTCACGTCGTAATCCTTGCAAGCGAGGTACTTGAGAGCAAGTTCTTCTCTAAATTTGGTCTTGATTTTCTTAGATTCATTGCTATTTGTTTATCCCAGCTCGACATTTCTCCACAAAATTGGTATAGAACTTCCTTTGGTGCTTGGTCGCATCAAATCAGAGGATGAACTTGTACTCCTCTGCGAGGAGATTCTCACGAGTTGGCTTTTTCAATTCAGGAAGTACGGATAATTGATAATTTGGACCAATTCTAGGACTATCACCGAGGATTCAGTAATAATCATCATTAGTGATCGACATTATTTCAGCATCCTGTTCGTTGTTAGGATCTGCCTTGAGTACCTCTAATTCATCTTCCGAAATATCTACAACGATGCAGTCAGTCTTCTCTCCCACCTCGGAGATAATAGAGGGAGCTGGGGTCACTTTGGTAACTCCTCTAAGTGTATTTGGCACCCTATCAATTAGTGAAATTACATCTTTTTGAGTTGAATTATTCATAAAATTGCTTCCATCCTGGAAATTCAGACTTCTGATCGGGAATTTTGCATAATTTTCCCTATTTCTAAAAGAAATTGCCACTCTTGGAGTTAGCTTTCCTGTGTCTTTTCTTAATTGCACTCAGCAATTTCTCAGCTCTGAGCTTCCTCGGTGATGAGGGCAACTTCGATAGAATCTCTGCGAGGTGATTCTCAGAGAGAGTCTTGGTCATCATCTTGGATCAAGATGACAGTTTGGTCAATAGAATCTCTGGCTCATGTATTTACCCCAGCAGAAAGGTCATTGTCTCTGTAAGAGTTAAGTACTTTACCTGATTTTCCTGGAAAATAAAGTGTGCTACCGGATTTTTCGTTTTTCGAGGAAAGGGCCACGCTTGGCTCAGAGTAGTCGAATCTCTGTTCTGTATCTTCCTGGCTCAACTTCCTTGATTGTCCTGGTGAACCTTGTGACTTTCTTGGAGTCGCTGCTGATCTTTCTGAGGATCTCAATATTTGGAGATCTTCAGTGAAATCATCAATAATTTCAATGTCTCAGGTATTGAGTGCTTGCTTAGATGAACTCTGGGTTTCCTCAGAACCCTTGCTTCATTTTCGTAAGGATTCTAGAAGACTCTTCTTGCCTTGACTAGGCTTGGCCTTTGACCTTTTCGTCATGAACTGGGTTTGCCAAGGATCTTGTCTGCTTTCTGATGGGTAAAAATCTTTTGGCTTCATAGTATAGTTATAGTTTTGCGGAACCCGGTAATTTTTCGGTTGAAACCACCAAGCTGATGGTCCCCAATATCATTGAGGGGCATTCTGTCATGTTCATCTACCCTTAGAGAGACTTCCAAGCTGAGTTGAGGACTTCATCTCCTGACCATTATTAGTAGTTGAGTTGACCCAATTGTTCTTTGTAGCACAATTTTGGTGGCAACCTATATTTGGGTAAAAATCATTAAGCGTGAAATCTCTACTTGTAGACTGAGGCAAACCTCCAGTCCAAGGAGGAGGTTTGAATGTCAATAATTGATTAGCAATAGACTGCACGTCTAGCCTCGGCACTGGGTTGTACGAACTGTAGTTCGCCCTGTTGTTCATTATGGAAAATTATTAAATTAAAGAAAGAAAAATATATCCCTATTAGTATCTTTTAACAAGGGGTTTTGGGGTTTTGGGGTTTTGGGG